GCTGAAAGCCTCCCTCATAAAGATAAATCAATCAATCAATCAATATACATGGATGAGGACATAAATTGATCTGAATCGAGAAAAGACATAACAAAAAAATTCCTGCTAACACACGTGTATCATCTTCGGCTTTACTTCGTGAAGCAGCTTATCAAAAATTTGCTCTTTTCCTCCTACCACCCTGAGTGACTTGTGTCGCACGGGCTGTTTGTCATAAAAACAAAGGAAGAAGATTATAACATTATTGCTTTCCACTTCTGACATAGCGCTATCATTTGGTTTGTTCATGGCTTGTCATTTTGTCATTTTTAGATATTTTTGATTCCTTGGGATGAGCATCAGAAAAACGTGTTTCTAGAAGCCTTATTTGCGGTTTTTGTTTTGATTCTGCGGTCCATTTCACAATGTTGCAATTCGTTTTTAAATTCTGTTTTCAATCTGAACACTTTTTCAGTAGAGCGAACAACAATTTGACAAATTATTAATTTGAGATAATTTGCTTTCTCACATTTCAGTTACATATTTTGATAAAAAGAATTTCAATATAGTTTTTTTTTACAATTGCAAGACAATTCTGTGTTCTGAGGCATAACATCTCTGATCACGCCTTCCTTCGGATGGGAAGTAAAGCCGTTGGTCCCCGGTTCATGAGTTGATGGGTCGATAGGTAGGGTCCAGGTGTGGGAGCTGCCTTCCTGGCACGTCGGTAGCATTGGTGCTCAGCACGGAAAACAAGATCGACGGAAAAAAAGGCAATCCTGGGCAGAATTTCAAAAGCAAAGTAATTTCGTGAAAAATTTCAAAGTAATTCCACGCAGTATAGGGTAGAGCAAAACATTAGCATAAGTGCCTATTTCGGTCATATCAAGCAAAAACGTGAAATATACCAATGATTTCAACGTGAACGAATCAATCATACGTCAAAACAGAGTCTATAAAAACGTATAATATGACTATTTACTCCATTCTGACTCAAGCGCTCCTAGCGAAATCATTTCCTCTGCCTTCATCCGTATGCGGAAGTGATATAAATGAAGTTTCAATATGTTTGAACAGATTTGAAATTTGAATGAAGGAATTGGAATCAAGCGCTGTTTTATACTTTGAACTATACCCCTTTGATTTGTGATTTTTTTAGAAAAACCAACGATACGCATGGAATGGTAAATAAAGGACTTTGTCTGTTATTTCTATATGGGGATGCACTTTGTGAAAACTGAAAATGGAACATGTAACAAAATTATGAAAGATTTTGAACGTTAATAACTTAGCTGCCCCTGGGCCAATTTCAATGATTTTATCACCAATCGATCAGAAATATTTCTACGCATCAAGTTTAAGACTTTATCATTTTTCAAAATGTTATTATTGAAAATTGCACGATTGTCCAACTGTTGCTATGATGATTAAAATTATTACCGATTGCCTGCGAATTTCGATTTCCCTAACACAGATTTCCAAGTTGAATTCCACCCGGTCTCACCAAACGGTGTTTTTTCAATCTCCGCGTGGTGAGTGGTGGTGTTCTCCAGTACACAACGAATGGCTTCCTGAAAGCAGCGAGCTGTTAACATAAGCATTAACATGAGTCGCTGTGGACCATCTATGCCAAGCGCGTCATACTAAATAGTATAAACAGATAGAAACCCGGTCAAATTCCTATTCCTACACAAAATACAAGCTTCTGCTGCAGTTAACAAATAACATTTATTATATAAGACCACGTAGTCCTACGTCACCATTGCGTACAACCCCATAGGGCTGTTCCTTGTAGTTTTTTAATTAGATCTTAACCCTACCACTCAGTATTTAAACACATAATATTACGGTCCCTAAATCTTCGATAAATGATTGCGCTTGTCTATTTCATAACCTGGCTACGCCCTGGTAAAAATAATAATAATGAGTTTATGGATGATCGGCCCTTATCCTGGTTTTGAATTCCAAGATCACGGATTGAACTTCTAAAGGGAGACCTGCACCAAAATTGCACTTTTTCAGTAAACCTGGGGGCTCACCCTCCAAATGATAGCTATGGGTGTAAGAAACAAACTTTTGGGAAATGTTATTTAGAGGTCGCCCCGAAGAGATTTTTGAAAAAAGACCATTTTTCATAGTACATCGAGACAGTATTTTTAATTTTTCAAATATTTGTAAAATATACCCCTAGGCTCCTCTGGAATTAGTTTTTTAAAGTCTAAATTGGTGAGTTTTCAGGTACATTATAGAATCTATTCATCAAAAGTGGGCATCAAACATGACTATATTATAGATCAAAAACATCAAAAAGTTGTGAAATTTTATAAAAAAAAAACTTTGCCCAAGACAGCTTAGCTAAATTCTAATCCGTAATAAAGTTATTTGTGATTTCATTTTTGCATATAGTTACACTTATTCGCAATATTATACAATAATATTTATTAAATAAAATTGGGAAAATGGCTCCAATGTTGGCATATCTATCAAAATATTGGATCCATCGATAAAAATCTCCTGTTCTTCAATTTTATTAGAACAATGCGGCATCTGGACCACTCCAGCAAAATCGCGACAATACAGGGTGATATTAAAAATTTTGCTTTGGTCACTCATTTGAGCTAACAGTCATCGTCAAGGGAAACGATGTCAATTGTCAATGACAATTCTGTCAGTGACGAACATGTGCAGATTTTGTTAGCTAAATTTGTTACGAAATGAAATGACTTGAGCAAAACAATTACAATTTTTCAAAAATCTCTTCGGATCTTTTACAAAAATGTTTGTTTCTAACACCCATAGCTATCATTTGGAGGGTAAGCTCTCAGGTTTCTTAACAAAGTACAATTTTGAGCCAACCTACTGTCTACGGAATAGGTTCTATCTGTTGCAGAATATATGCGGAAGCTGGAAATCGGTGTTCAGCGCCATTCTGGAATTAAAAATGATGAACCTTAATCCAAAATGATGAGAATACGCATCTGAAACCATGCAACCTTGATATCTAAGTTATAGGGTCGACCAGGAATGTTGATAATCTGTGGCTGCTGCTTATTTGGAACTCGAACACGAACTAATAAAGTGTCGCATGTCCCGCGGTATAGACCTTTTTGGAAGCGGGAAATCACGATGAGACTGGAAGTCGATGTCCGATACAATTTTGGAATCCATGGTGGCAAACATCAATAAATGCCGTCCTCAGTGCATAAAAACTCATATAGTAGAGCATCTGACACCGAAACTTGCCGTCATGGACCCCAAAATAGGGGCACATATCGGTCTTCAACGTCAAAATTCTTATAGAAGAATATACATCTTTAGGGAGACCAGAGGTTGCCAATCTTGATTCCAAAATGGGATCACTTTCTGACTGCATCTCGTCGCCTTCGTTCTAGAAGTTAGGTGGTTAATTAACTTTTTACAGATACCATAATGGGATGTTCCTTAAATACGTAGACAGCTTGGAGGGCTAGTGACGACACCAACTTGTCATAATTTTAACTGACCACTCCGAATCCAATCCTATATTTATAGAAAATCATTGATTCAGAGTGACCAGCGAACCGGGAAAATCGTTTAAATCAGGAAATAACCGGGAATTTAAAAAGTAGCCAATAAAACTGGAAAAAATCGGGAATTTGACCGGGAAAATTAAAAAACTTAACATATTCCATCAAACATTGAAATTTGAATAAGACGAATAGCAAAGAAAAAATATGCATCTTCAGCCTAAAAATGACTTATTCAGCTCTTAATTAGCCTATAACTTTGAAATCGTTTACAAAATTTTATTTTAACACATGCAACACTTTACTAAGAAATCCTTTAGAATTCTCATTAGAATACCATAAAATTCGCTTCCTAATTTTCATGAAACTTTCTTAATAATTTCATTTAAATTCTTTAAATTTTTTTTTAAATTATTCTCAGACTACGCTTTCTTTGGTAATTTTCTCGGAACTTCCTTGAAGTTCTCTTCTGAATCTCCCTCAGTATTTTTTTGAAATTATCCTCAGATAACCCTTTAAATTCTGTAAATGTTTCTTTTGAAATTATCATTAACGTTCCTAGTAAATTGGGCTAATTTTTTACCTGGAGACACTGTAAATTTTTCCAAATGAATTAGGGAGGTTAAAATTCATCTGCTATTTTTCTCACAATCCCCATGCAGCTCTCATCACAACTCCTCAAGACTTAATTAGGACTAAGACGTAATTATTCTTTGGAATTTTCAAAATACTTCAAATTATTTGAAGTCTGGAGTTATATTTTTCTAAATACGGGATCTTGGAAGACGGCAACAAACAAAATTTAACGACAAATGATAGACTATTTTTCCCGTCAAAAAGGCCACAATAAGCGACCAAAACGTCGGAGAATTTACAACTAACCGTTTGGATTACCCTTCACTTAGAAAGCCATAAAAAAGGAACCATGATTTAGACTTGTAAAATGCTTTAAAAGCTTGATAAAACATGCAATGTTACTTGGGCATGACAGCAATTCAAAATACTTTCGATTGCATCGATTTTTTGTAACTTCGTGCTGTAGTTTGGAGTTTGCACAATACAGTGCCTTCCCGATTTTGCAATACGACATCAAAAGTTTTTATTTAGTCATGTAACAATGCATTCTGGATAATTTTTAATAAATTTCCCATTTCTGATCTAACACATTAACGGCGATCTCTAAAATGTGATACATTGAATTTACTGTTCGATGGATTTTACAGCAAGGAAAGCAACGGCATCAAACACCAAGAGTTGCCAAAAAAAAACGGGAAAGCACTGTATTTTTCAACTATGTAGGCTAAGTTAACTATCATGAGGCAGATCAATACGAACTTTGGATTGCCATCTACCTGAACACTAACAAACAAATGCAGCGGAAATAGCTACCTATCCAAAAGATTAGCATAACACAAAAAAAAAAAACGGTGCCGGTGATGGTGATGGTTACATTTTACCTTATCTAGACCAATCAGACAATTCACCTGTCAACGCAAACCGTTTCAATCCACCCAGGCCCCCGTCGAAGCCCGAGCCAGACGCGTCCGAGAATATTCAACAGTATGACAAAACCGTCCGTTGGCGAATACGCCGTTTCTTCGAGAAGCGAAACAGTATCGATCTGCTCAAACTTTCAACACAAAATGGTATCATTTCAATGAAATCTACCCTCGCTCATGTTTTAATTGCTTAACATATGCTTTTGTTTTCTTTTCTGTGTGTTTTTTATGTTCTCATGTTTTCTCTCTCCAACTTCGTTTAACCGCCTGTGTTTCCGTTGTGCCTGATTTAATAGTTATTACTTATGTTAAAAAGCCTCAAGTTCCAACGGCACCCACCTCAGCCACCACCAAAGAACCGCAGCAAACAGGCGATGATAGAAATGAGAATGTACCATCAACTAGTGCAGATGTAGTAGGTATGCCCGATCTGTCATAATGTGACCTTTCTTACACTCTTCTTCAAAATATGGACAACTGATTTGCAAATTTACACACTCTTCTGAATGATTTGACTCAAATAAATGAAATGCTATTAGGTTGATGCTGAAATTTCCTTGATTTTGATATCTTTCAGTTACTGGAGAATCATCGACTGCTGGAGGATCCCAAATAGAACCAGGAGAATATGAAAACCTACCCTTCCATGGTATACAAACTCCTCCCAAGAAGGTATGTATCGAGTCAGATATAACCTAACCTAATTTTTGGATTGATTTCATCTAATCGCATTGATTGATTGATTGAAATGTTGTACCTGATTGTGTGTGCAATTGTTTTAGGCTTTCCTAGCAAAGAATAGTCTCGCTCCGGCAGTGAAGTGCCCTAACAAGTCGCTAACACCCTCCTGTTTTCCAACTCATCCGTACAACTACATCAACTATCAGCAACGTGATAGCAGTTGCAAACCGACCTCCAGTCTTTCGTCCTATAACACTAGTCAATCGACTGTGCTAACTAACCAAAGCAATATGTCCTCGCTGTCCAACAGCCAGGATTCCTCGAGCAACACTAACTCCTATCTCAGTAAGACCATAGAGCGGAAGAAACCTAGCCAGCATCAGCAGTTGCTGGACAACAGCGATACCCTTTCGACCCATAGTTTCTCTTCGGGGAAATCGCTCAAACGACCACCCGGTCTCGGTGGCACCAATGGTGAAAATAAGAAACTCATTGATCTCGAAACGGTCACCCCACTGTATGAGAATCTAACCGATTCCATCCAGATTCATGAATCTCCGATGGGAAATGCTGGAAGCGGCATCGGAGGCAAATTTGCAATTGACGGTCACGAACGGTACAAGATCAGTTTACGAAAACCGAGAAAATGTAGTAGTCGGTCAAACAGTGCCGTTTCCAATAGTTACTACGACTGTATTAAGCCCATTCCGGCACCACGACATCGGAAGTATGCGTCCACAAATTCACTTCTATCGAAGAATATCCAAATGTATAGCAACAAGCTGGATCCGATCTACATGAATCTGCCGGTCAGCTCCGGTTACGAGACGGATCCGCGTTCAAACGACGAGTTCAACAGCAGCGAGGTAAGCAGGCTTTGCCACTAACATAACCTAACAAATATAGCATGATCTAACCTGGCTTCTCCATCCCGCAGTGTCCCACTGCATACGATAACCAATACTTCGAGATCACCCAGCACCAGACTCGTATCCTGATACCGAAAGAGCTCTTCCCCGTAGATAGAAGCAACCAAGTCAAAATAAATCAATTACTGAAGAAGAATCTAGTTTCATCGAACCGACGTCACATTAAACTGCCTTTACAAAAACATCATAGCTTTAATTTCCAATCCTCCCAAACCGTGGAAGCGACTGTTCGCGATCTCAAGATCAAATCGCATTCGATTAGTTCGAAAACACTGCGAGACTATCGCAACAGTAGCAATATTAACAACAACATCAACAACAGCAGTAGCAGTAACAACATCAGTGGCGGTAGCAACAGCAACAACAACATCATCACTAGTAGCAATTTTATCAGTAGCAACAGCAGCCACAAGTTCCCGACTAGCTCCACAAATCCGTTCATCAACAGTAGCAATACCCTGGCAACTCTCAGCAGTAGCAGTAGCAGTCGTCGTTCGCTGGCAGTAGCCCGTCAGCACACGACCCTGGCAACGGCAACGCTTGCTACGGTTCGGCAGCACCCATCCAGCAGCCGATCGCAAAGTGAGGACGAAAGTAGCAGCGATCAGGAACCCATCAAGCCGCCACCCCATTTTCACCACCCACAACAACATCAACAACACCATCTGAAGCATCACCCTCAGCACAACAATCTAGTAGGAGGCACGACACACACGGCGGCGATCATCAATGCCGTAACCGCCACAACCGCACCAGTCTACAAGTATGAAACTAACTCGATAGCCTTTAAACCTATCACTCCTGTGCCAACGAGTACTCCAGCAATAACTAACTCTAAATCATCGGTTAATAATATGTGTAAAGACAAATTTGCTATTAAATAATAAAACTAAAAAAGAGACGGAAAAAAACATGAAGAAGAAACAGGATCTGAGATAACAAACTACTAACTGATTAGAACTCATTGCTTTGTGCGTGCGTTTCATTTGCTTTTGAGTTGGTTTGAATTTGGGTTTGTGCGTTACTTGTTGAATTAATGGAAGGTGCTAATGATGACATAAATGGTAGATTTCTAAGCTTGGAAAGGTAAGTAATCCATGGTGTTTCGTTATGTGAATGGGAATGGTACAGCTTCTCTTCAAAAATCTTTCCATTTTAATAGACTAACACTTGCAAATGCTTATTTTTTTTTTGAGTAAAAAAAGGTTAGGTGTTATATGGTTACAGGGCAGTTAAATTGAATGGTAACTTTTTTTCAATCAATTTAATCTTAGAAAATTTCTTGCAGAAGCAGGGTTCTACTTCGCTGTTTTGTGAAAACATAAATTATTGATTTCTATGTTCAAATCACCCTTTACTGTACTGCTGGTAACCGCAAGTCAGTTCCATCTGTACTTTTATCAATTTTGAGTTATCACCTTTGTTTAGTTTATTTATGTATGTTAATTGAGCTGTGCTATTGAAAAAATGTGGATTGTTCAAGAAAAATGAAAAACAATACCAAGTCAAATTGTCCCACAGCGAAAAATAGCCGCAAGTCTGTCCCATAAGGAAAAAAAAATCATTAAATAAACTATGAAACAACGTCACAGCAATGTTCTTAGGATTGCTTATACAGAATTAAGAATGTTAGACAACATATCGCATCATGAGATTTTACTCATTACAGATTCTGTTCACTTCCCCTAGGCTATCTAGAACATGTCCGGATGTGGCCAATGACCCTCAATATGACCGCCAAGGGATATGGCTTTGAATTCCCATGTAGTTTGATATGTCGCATGATGGATTTCGATTTAAAAAGCTTTTACCACTTCCCAGGGGATACTCGGCACGGAACATGTCCGAGTGTGACCAACATGGTGCTTGTTACTCATCATGATTATTATTGATCTTATTTTCAAATACTAATATGAATTGATTTATCGTATGGTGGGTTTGGCACGTTTTTGAAAATGTCTGGTTTCAAGACCCTTACTAGCCAGAATATGTTCCGGCCATAGCTCCGGAACCAGCGGAACGATTCCAAAAAACATTTAATAACATTCTATGCGACTGTGGTATCTTTCTACTATCATCTTACTACTTCTCCGCGGAGTTCACGAGGATGTGCTCCACGGTGGCTGGCACTCCGCAGGATTCACAGGTCCTCCGGAACGGTGTTCCTCCGAAGTTGTGGGAGACTCTGCTGTGCCCGGTGCGCAGCCTTGACACCACTCGCTGTTCTCGTAGGTTTGGTCGATCCTTCCAGGTTCCGGTGGTCGCCTTGATCTTCCGAAGATGGTGTGTCCTGTTGTTCCTCCACTCGGTGTCGCAAGCTCTCGAAATCGTCCGCTTAATCCACTTTTTGACATCTTGGAGCGGTACATTGCCGCTGGACCTGGGTCCGGTGTGGCCTGAGCCGGCGAGGTAGTTGGCTATTAGGTTCCCTTGGATCCCGCAGTGACCGGGTACCCACAGTGAATACTGTGTTGGGCGGCGCGTGCTTTACCGTTCCTTGGATCCACGGATGTTTCGGTGTTTCTGTTGTTAGGGCCAACGCTGTGTGAGTCAATTACGACTAAAATCGGCCGGTTGGACGGTAGCTTAACCGCGTGGAGAATGGCCGCTGCCTCAGCTGAGAACACCGAGCATTGGGTCGGGAGCGATCTGCTCACAAGCAGACCATCTCCGGAGACCCCCATTCCCACTCCGCTCCTGGAGAGAGAGCCGTCGGTGTACCTAACTTCATAACCTTGGTAGTGCGCCCCGAGAGTTTCGACAACTGTCCGGCGTAAAGCCAGCGAGTTGTCTCCTGCCCTGAAGCGGTCCTTGATTCGGCTGTCAATTTTAATCTTGCGTGATTGCCAACTTTTGTCTCCATGCCAGTGGACCCTGGCCACTGGAGGGAGATCTACGTCGGCGGCCGTGCGGAGGAGTCGGTTCGCCTCGTCGAGGAGAACGATCATGTTGCTTCCCGACGTTTTAGCGAGAAAGGCAGCGGCTTTGGTAGCAGTAGCTGCGGTGCGGTGCTGACGCATGCAGCGTCAACCGGGGTAGAGGGCAGGAGACCGGAGACTTTTCGAACGTTGCCGTTGTACACCGGTTCCAGAATCTGGACGGCTTTCTCGGCGGCAAGGCATGTAATCTCTACACCGTACAGTAGGCGACTGTCGATGATGGCTCGAGCTACGCGGAAGCGGATTTCGCGATTGTTGGATCGGTGGGGGCGGGAGATGGTCTTAATCAGGTTGGACCAACTGTGACAGTCCTTCTTTACTTGTTGGAAGTGAGGCTCAAAGCATAAATTCCGATCGAGGAGCACTCCCAAGACCCTCACGGTATTTTTAGTCGGTATTGCTTGTTTTTTAATCATGATGGGCTGTCCGTTGTTGCGATGCCTGGTGGTACATATATGGCAGCGCACGCTCTTGCCGGCGGAAAGCTGGAAACCAACAGAGTCAGCCCATCTGACCACCGAGGAGACTGCCGCTTGCGCTTTCAGTTTCGTCCTCTGCAGGGTGGGACCCACCGTTACAATGAGGACGTCATCCGCGTAGACGAAGATGTAAACGTTCTAGGGTAGTTGGTCAAAGACCCCATTCATGGCCACCAGGAAGAGGGTGACCGCGATTACCGAACCCTGAGGCACTCTGGTTTCCTCACTGAAACTTCCGGATTGCACGTTTCCAACCGAAACCCTAAAAGATCGGTCGGTCAGAAAGTTCCGGACGAAGTGAAGGATGTGTCCTTTCAGGCCCCAATCAGCAAGCTTCTTCAATACAGCTGGTGCCCATGTTCGGTTGAACGCTTTGGAGATGTCCAGTGAGACGATCTCCGCGTGATGACCTTGGTCCTTTGCCTCCTTCAGGACTTCCCCAAGAGTGGTGAAGTAGGTGGAAGTGCCATACCCTTGCCTGAAGGCGTGCTGCCGATGGTCAATCAGCCCCTTGGCCTCAAGATATTGCTTCAGCCTCCTGTTGACCATCCGTTCCAGGACTTTCGCCATGCAGCAGGTCAGTGCAATGGGACGGAACCCAGTAATGTATTTGGTCCCGTTATTGGTTTTCACTAACGGTATAACGAGGCTTCCTCTCCAGTTTTCCGGGTATTCTTCAGCGGTCCAGAGTTGGTTGTAGAGGTCGAAAAGTTTTGTTTTGCCTTCGGGTGGCAGCGGGTAGCCGATTTCGTCCGGTCCAGCCGAGTTCCCGTTGCTCCGACTGAGAGCGAACACGAGTTCTTTCCAGGAGAGTGGGCTGTTGATCGGTAGGTCGTCGTTGTCTGGAGGAATTCCGAAGGTAGACACAGAGGAGAGAGAGAGGAGTGGACTCACTGTCGGAAGCTTTTGCTGTACTCCGAGATGCCGGATAGTTTGGCGAAGTATTTGCCCAGTTCGTCTGCTACGACAGTTGGATCAGTGATGGTGACGGCGTCTGTTCGTATCTGAAGCGGAGATGATCGCCGCTTGCCGCTAAGGGCGTTGATGTGACTCCATAGCTCCGCTGACGATTGTTCGGCGTTGATACTCTCCAGAAAGTCCGTTCTGAGGCATAGCCTTCATGTGTGGGAGCTGCCTCCCTGGCGTCGGTAGCATTGGTGCTCAGCACGGAAAACAAGATCGACGGAAAATAAATCAAGGAAAAAAAGGATGCCTTCTATCACATTGCACATTTATTTTTTAAATTATTCCTCCAAAATAAGTGTATAATGAGAAAGCTTGAATGCCATTTTCTCAATTCCAGTTTATTGCAGATGGGACTGACTTTCGGGCAGTATAACTGCTATTACACACTGAGAAATTTTTTCCGGACTTTCAACAGCTTAATTGGTTGGGGAAAAAACAACATTTTAGTTCATTATTTTTAACGCTTCAAAACAAGAAAAACTTCACCGCAATGGGAAGACTCGATTATGTAATCAAGCTTCACAGTGTTTTGAAATTAAAATTTAGTAAAACAGCTTTTGAATCGAGGGTCAAACGAACATTCAGCTGTTGAAAGGTCGGTAAAAATTGCCAAAGTCGGTAATGATTTCTAAGTGTGTAGATGCAATTGGAACAAATGTAGGCAACGAATAGATGATAAAATTTAATTTGTCTTTTATTTTACAAAAAAATCATTGATATATTGTAATGTAGCCTCAATTATCTCCGTTCATAAATTAATTGGTAATATAATTATATAATTTTGCAATATGACCACTCGCGCAGACAGGCCAAAAATTGGTCAAATCCATACACAGTAAAAAATTGATTTTGATATCATATAAAAGTGGATGGACTTCAATCGTGTCGAAAATATGGTGTAATATTACTTGTCAAAAAGGACAAAATTATCATCAATACAGTGCATGAACTGACATGACGCTGCTTTTACTGCATTTGTTTATTTTTGTGGCCATTAAAATTACATGAGATTTTCGACATGATTGAAGTGCATCCTCTCGGATGTAATAATAAAATTTATTTTTTGCTTCTCACTTTTTTCCGAGCTCACACAAACTTTATGTGAATCATAAAATATAGTTTGGGATCTAAGCTTTCGATGAAAAAAAAATTGTAGAATTTCCTTGAGGTTTTGTAAAATGTCATCGAAAAAACAATAAAAAGTGCTGATGCGTTTTGCACAAAGTTGTATAAAATGCATATTTTTATAAATCACATGAAAAGCAGGACTGTGAAGTCGAAGTTGGAGGCGCGGAGTCGGTAGCAATTTTGAGCATAAGGAGTCGGAGTCAAAGAAATAGTACCGACTGAAACCAACCGTTATGAAAAATTAATTTGAAACTAGAACCTAATTAAGTCCATGTTCAACTATTTTTACTCGTGCTTGATTCACTTGAAATCGAATGGCTATCACCAAAACTAACATGACAGGCCAGACCTGCTCAAACAATCAAAACTTGCTTTATTTATTGGCTGTATCTTGGGGCGATAAACATGTTTCAAGCTGCATTTCGTTTATT